CTTAGTTAAGGATTAACCCATCAACCTTTTACCTTACTCGGTTGATCACTTTCTACATGTATGCCTCAACTTTGCTCACATACAAACTAACATTGGTCACTTGTAATCAGTATAGCTTGACTTAGTCCCTATATTATGGTCACTTATAGTCGGTATGCCTCGACCTATCCCACATATCCCATGAACTAAGGTTCTAAAGGATACTCAACTATCCACTTCAATAATTAACTACTCAAGAAGGATTTTCAATAAATTGGACTCTTGAAACACCACACTAATATCCTCGTAATGGGATATCTAACTTTTGAAAAAACCTTCTTCTTTAGTCCTAAGTCAATCAACATAACATGTTTAAATGTCTAAAACATTCTCAACACCTTCACCTCGACATTCAACAATTTAAGAACATAACATTCCTAAATATCTAAAGCATTATCAGCATCAATGCCTCAACAATTCAATAGTTAATCATTTATAAACATTATCCCTGATCAATGTTTATAGAACCAACACCATTCAACAACATACAACATTTTAATCATCAATATACATTATCCCCATATCAATGTATATATAACTAAAAACATTAATCAACATGCAACATGTCATAGATTCACCTAACTTATTCATGTTCACCATTTTATCAAACAAGCAACAAGTTTTCATAAGGCAATCCATGCTTGATGCCATATGCCTTGCGCCTAATGCCATTGAGACATAAAGCTCCTTGTCTCGCTCACGCTCACCCTTGACACCATTCAACCCACGATCAATGTGGATGAGATCAAAGATCCCCTAGGACAATCACGTCTGGTATGACTAAACCCACTCCTAGCTTTAATTCAAATAAAGACGATTCTCTCTCTTCATACCTGACGTTACTCTATTGACGCTCAACGTCACGTGAGTAGAAAACTCTATCTTGGTCACGTTGGACTCCTCATAATCTAAGGCCTAACATCACCAAGTTAGAGATAATTCTCTCACCTCATATTCGACACCATTTAACTCACACTCGACGTGACCAAGTCAGAGGCTTTTCTCTCTTCGCATGCCTAATGCCAACAATCTTGCACTTAACACAAGTGAGATAAGGGTCCCTGATTTGAGCCACATACAACACCATGAAGATATGCTTGGGATGATAATAGGTTTTGCACTTGGAAAATTCTCAAATTGGCTTAAAACCACCTAAAACATAAACAAACCAAAAGCATGTGATGCACCAAAACATATACGTTAATAATTGGCTTTAAAATATGTTACATGTAGCTTCTTTTATTCGTTAGAGAAAAAATTAGAAAAATTATGTTTTAGGAATTTATCAAAATTAAAACAAACTTAAACAGTTTTAAAAAATAATTATAAATTATCTACCAATAAAATTCTTACATGAATAATAAAAATTAAAATTATTTATTAGTAAGTTATTTGTCCGAATGAAATTAAACTCAATTTTTTTAATAAAATCTTGGTTTTAAATATTGTAGATAAAAAAATGTAATTAAGAAAATAAATTCTATTAAAAGAAATTATTTAAATTTTTAACAATAATTAATCATAGCCTAAATTAATAAATACTTCACTAATAACATAGTTACAATTTTTTTTCTAAACATGAGTGGGATGTGTTTATCAACTGATTAATCATTGTTAGATGTGATTATAACTTTATCTTGACATGGATACACTATTAACCTCACAAGTCCAAGGGACCCTTATATTTATTGAAAATGATAATCTAGGTGTATGTCAATGTGTTGTTTCCACCATGTACCCCATCACATCATTGTCCTATCTATCTTCTTCAGCTTTTGTGATGAAACATAGACGGATGCAAATGTTGGACCTCAAATCAACACCCTGTGGGCCACCATACACATTGTTCTCTACCACCCATTATATAGCATCAATCCTGACGGAGACATGCTATGAGTGCATTCTTTTTTTCTCCATCAAAATTGAATGGTTAATGTTACTATCTAAATAAGTTGGTGGGGTTGTACTCAAATAACACAAGTACCTAATTGTAAGATAAGTACTAAATATCGACATTAATATGATGAAAATTTACAAATCTAAGATAACTTCTGTTAATCTTTTAATTTAGTTTGAAGATAATTTTTAGGAGAACAGGAATTGTCAACGAATGAGTTGGATTAAATTTGACATGAAATAAAACTCAAATTGATAAAATTTAATGAAGTTGAACTTTATCAAATTTATTATGATATTTTCAAATCTAAACAATTTGATTGAAAATTGGTCAGAAAATCAGTCTGAATTTTCACCCAAAAAAAAAATCAGTCTGAATACCTTAGCAAAATAGTAAAGTAAAAGAAAAAAAGACAATAGTTAAGAAATTGGCCAAAATCTGTGTAAATTTTTTTTTAAAAAAAAAAAAAGTGGTTTTAATTGATGTTTTAAAAATGTTATTTTTATTCTAAAATATGCATTTAATAAATATATTTGTATATTGTCTGCATAAAGATTTTTATTCTTAATTAAACTTTTATAGCTCTAATTTCATCTTATGAAACATGTAATATGATTATTATATATTACTTAAGAATTTACATGACTTGATATTCTTAAAATTATTATATTGGTTTATTGCATAATATATCTTACAATATTAAAGTTATCTTTTTATTATTATTAGTTTTGTTTTAATTCAATCACGATTACCTTAGAGAACTATTAATCAATATATTTACTAGTTTAATGATTGATTTAGATTTAAGGACATTAAAACCAACCTAATTAAATTCAAGTTGCATTATTTGATAATGTGTGTTGAATTGGATTCATCGAGTTTGAAAATGTATTATCTTATACCTAATTTGATAATGTTTGGATTTCACTCTTTGTAATTTAAGTTTTAAAGGTTTTGGGTGGCCAGAGTGATTCAAGAAATGAGCATATGTTTCTTATAATTATGATTAGAAGAAAAAAAACTTCACTTATCATCCTTAATTAGGGTGTCCAGAATGATTTGTGAACATTTTATTTGTTAGGCATTATATTTGGGGGTTGTTGTGGTCAAAGAAATGGTTGTTGGTATACCTATAGGCTATAACCTATTACTGTTTGCCGTTGTTGTTGTTACTTTCCTTTGTCATAATAATTTATCAACAACCATTTCATTTGTGTTGCTGTCGGGAAGCAAATCGTGTGTTGTAAAGGAGTCATACCTCATTATATATATATAAAGTTGCAGTTGTGATATCCTTTTCCAGGCCAAAGAAAAGTGGCAGAAATAAGGCAACAAAATTTAAGTTTGATTCATGTTCCTGTCATAGTCGACATTCTTTTTTATAATAAAACAACATATTATTAAAATGATATTAACTAATTAAATAATGTATTTTCTAAAGTTATTATAGAAATGTGTTTGAGAAAATTAATTTTGAAGTTTTCAGTTGTTTTTTTAAAGAAAAAAAATGTTTGTAAAACGAGTTATATGTTTAAAACAACAACTGAAATTAAAATATAATAATTTTATTTTTACCATATACAAGTGAAATTAAATTTCTTAAAATCACTTTACAAGAAATTTATTATAAATATAATCTATTATAACAATAATAAAATATACATATAATCAATTGTTAAAATAACCTAATTTTTAATATTATCTCAACATACTCTATATATGAGCTAATTAGGCAACAAAGAGAATCAAACTTTCAAATTGACCAAAATAGAAGGCTCCATAAATCACAAGAGAAAAAAGAAATCCCCAATACCCCAAAGTATACATTTTATAAAAGACTACCATACTAAATATTTTCAAATATTGATATAAAGGTTTAAAAGGACATTTGATTATTGCATAATAATGTTGAAGAAAAGCTACGAATGGACTTTAATAAGCAAAAATGTTAAATTAAACCAGCATCAAAAGAGGTTTTCACTTAATCAATTCATCAAATTGAATGAGTTGTTTTAATTAATGACGAAAAAAAAAATTGATACAACTTATTGTGTTCAGATTGAATGACCCACTTATATATTAAACTCAATGGTCCACATTGCCGGGCAAACAAACAATAGATTAGAATGGAATGAAACACAGCAAGGTCTCATAGCCAATATTCATTTTAATGTGTTTGTGACTAAAAATTCGTTTTCAATAATTTTTTAAATGTACTTATAAATACATTTAGTTTCATAAAATAAGTAAATGACTCGTTAATATATTAGTAATATAAAAAATTAGTAACAAGTACATTTAAAAATAGACATATATTCCTTATAATTAAAATTAAAATGAAAATAATATCCTGAATTCTTTCTTGGGACCATAGATGGTATTGGTGAGCACTTATCTTTTTCAAAAAAGAGAATTGTTTTAGAAGAAGTGGCATACTGATCTGTGTGATGAAATTGAGAAGAAAAAAAACTGGAATAGTTAGCAACAATGTAAGGGAAATAGATGCTCTAACTTTAAGGTAAAAAAGTTATCGTAAATTTTGTCTCAAAGTTAAAGAATATGAATAATTAAGTGACTTAATTCAGATTTTTTTAATTTTAAGATAGAAAAGTTATGATAATTTAATATATTTAAATTGTTAAATTTATAAAAATAAATTAAATTACGACATATATATAATATATATTTTGACTTAAATATACACATGTTATTGTTTCATCTATTATTATAAATTCAACTGTTTAAATATATTAAATTATTATAACTTTCTCATCTTATCCATTTCAAGTTACTCGAAGATGCATCTCTCCATTTCTTAAACTTAAAAAAAATGTTAATAAAATAAAATTATAAATATTTTAGAAAGTGTAATATTTATACTTTTAAAATTTTAATAATAAAAAAATAAAGTCCAAATGTCACCTTATATTTTATTTATTATTAAAGTCCAAGACTCACTCTCACTCACTCCTTTGCACAAAGTCCAACTAATTCAAGAACGCATCCCAAAACTTGACATAATTAGTTAAAATACCCCAAGAAAACGGAAAATGACAGAATCTCCACGAAACTTGCTATGCACTCGTTCCTCTCTCTCTCAATCTCTCTGTTTCGTTGTAATAGAAGAGTGTTGAAGCTTTTCTTCTCCCTCTGCCTCTCCCTTCTCTTCTTCTTCCCTTCGCCTTCAACGAATTCTACCTTTTCTTTTTCTTTTCTTCATCGCTCATCGCCGATTCCGATTCGCCGCTCTTTCTTTTCCCTTTATTGTTGATCCTCTGCGATAACGAATTTTCTCGTCCGATACTTTTCTCGTTTCCTCGGTCGCCAAACGGAGGACAAGACAAGTGCGAAAAGCGCCGGAAAATGCTGGGGACTGCACTGCAGTTTGGGGGCGTGCGCGGCGGGGATCGGTTTTACATTCCGGTGAAGGCGAGGAAGAACCAGAATCAGCGCAAACAGGCTCACAGAGCCAAGAATGGCGAAACCGAGAACGCGGATTTAACTTGGAAGAGCAAAGTCGATGTTTCTGAGAGTAGCAATAGCAATCTGGACCAATCTTTGAAACCAACTCCGTCACCGCCTGCAGAGTCTGTTAGTAATATCGATAGGTTCTTGGAGTCCACGACGCCGTTAGTCCCGGCTCAGTATTTCTCCAAGGTTGATCTCGGATTCTCAATTCATCTTTTAAAATGTTGAAACAGTTATTGCAAATGTTTTCTACTTATTTATGTAATTGTGACTCCTTTTCTGTTGTGTAGACAACGATGAGAGGTTGGAAGTTTTGTGATGTGGAGTATCAGTCTTACTTTGCGTTGAGTGATCTCTGGGAATCTTTTAAGGAGTGGAGTGCTTATGGAGCTGGAGTTCCTTTGGTCCTTGATCAAAGTGAGTCTGTTGTTCAGTATTATGTTCCGTATTTGTCAGCTATTCAACTATATGCTCAGTCTGCTGATAAGACAAGTGCAAAGTCAAGGTATTGCCATTTCATCTTCATAATAATAAGAATTGCTAGCTTTAAGACAACACCAGCCCCTGGAACTTGGTAGAATTGTTGGTAAATGCCGCTCTTTTACTCTCTTCCATTGGGTTTGTTTATATTCATTAATTCTGTCACGTAACTTCCTTTTTTTCCTTATACCGACACTTGTCAAAACTTGATGGTGAAATCTTTCTTCAAAATCCGTGCTTTCATGATGTGTTTGTAAGCTATCTATAACCTAACTAACATGAATTAGCCACAAATTCCTTCAGAGGATTGTTGTAGAATAGAACTGTAGTTGAATTTCCTATCTTTTGGTTCTGCATTAAGTTATGTTGTATCTGTGGACTAAATTCATTTTGCCCCCTCAGCACCGCATTGGCCTTGGTTGTCTCTTTCTGAGCAGAGCATAGAATGAAAACTGAAACAGAGTACAATATCTAGCTTAAAGAGAAACTGTAACACAGGTTTAAAGTAGATATGACATTAAGCATTGCATATGGAATAATTGGCAACCATTTCCTAGTTCTCATTATCAACCATATAAATAGTGATATCGCTTGCTAATTGTTATTCCTAATCATACAGTGAAAGAACTAAGCAAATTGAAAATGAAGTGATAAGATTTGGTTTAAATTTAAAGTTTAACCCCCAAAGTCACTTGATTCTATTCCATGTGAGTGGTGTGTAGGGTATATTGTTTAAATGAATTTTATTTGTTATTGAATATGCTTTCTGGATGCCGGTTGAAAAGCAACAGGAAAAAATTGAGAAGTAAATGAATTAGAAATACATGCATTATCTTGTAGTCTTTGTAAAATGCTTCTCATAGATATAGAAACTGCAGAAGTTCAGAATAGCAAAAGGCAGGAAGATGATATTGTTATCTGTTAATTATAGAAAATAATTTGGTATTGACTCTGTTTTCAATAAAAAAAATTGTTTACCCTCGAGTGGAATAGCCACTATTCCTTCTTTTTTTTTTTTAAATGTACGCATTCGGTATTTTGTAAAGAAAATGCATAATACATTAAAATCTGTTTGTTTATAACCCTTCGATTTTGCTTAAGGAGAGCCTTGACACAGTGATAGGGTTGCTGCCTTGTGACCTAGAGGTTATGGGGTCATATCCTGGGAACAATTTCTCTGCTTGGTGGGAGCCTTGTGTACTGCCTTTTATAAATTATGATCATTTCAATTTGTTTTGTTTTGTAACTCTTTTCTAATTTTCACTTCCCTCCCATTATTATGATTTAACAAATTTTAGCGCCAATTTAATCCCCCCCTCTTTCCATCCTATAACTAGTAAAGAGTAATAAGTAGCATTTTATTCGTTACTCTTGATTTGCCTTGAGGGTTCAGTATATCAATCCAGGTTATCAAACTTGATATTGAAGGGCATAAAATCATATAGTTTTAGGATTTTACTAATACAAAAACAGCTAATTCTGCTTAAAAGCACATATGAAATGTAAAAGAAGTGTTTGAAATGGTGCTTAAGAGCACTGATTTTGTTGAAGTTACACTTTCACGAAGTGATGTCATGCTTTTTTACTTTCAGACCATTTGGTTAGAACAGGACAAAATTGCTAAGGGTACTGGTCTGTAGCAATTCGTTTTATAGCCATTGATCATGCACATTCTTATGTACAAATTTTTGAGTTATTATTATATTTTTGTAATTTGTTAACTTACTATCCTACTTCTGTGTAATTATAATTTACAAGTGTTATGGAAGTGTGTGTTATTGTTCTTTAGCTTGTAACCAATCAAATATTATTTTTTTATGTCATTAGGTACACCAGTGAAGATAGTGATGGTGATTACTATAGAGATTCATGTAGTGAAGAAAGCAATGATTATGAATATGGAAAAAGGACTGAATTTATAACACAAAGAAACCCTCAATATCTAACTGGTGGTGTCTCAATGCAAATGAACACTCTATCTATACATGATAAACACAGTGCAGTGCAAGAAGAATTTTCTAGTGATGACAGTGAAACTGGGAATCCTCAAGATCTTCTTTTTGAGTATTTGGAACAAGATCCTCCTTATAGTCGTGAACCGTTGGCTGACAAGGCAATTACTGATCATTAGTTAATGTGTGACTTATTTAACCATAATCTGATCAATCCATCTTATACTTTATAATATTTTGACAGATACATGACCTTGCACGCCACTATCCTGCCCTCAAGTCATTGAGAAGCTGTGATTTATTACCAGTCAGTTGGATGTCTGTGGCATGGTAATCTAATGCTTATAACTTCTTTCTCCCTTTTTTTTTTTTGTTTTTTAATAGACTTCGCAAGATTAACTTAATCTAATGTTTTTTTGTCTGTTGACATATTTTAATGTCATGTTCTAGGTATCCTATATATCGAATACCCACAGGTCCAACAACATTAAAAGCTTTAGATGGGTGTTTTCTTACGTACCATACACTCCATACACCCTTGACAGGTAATCATGGAACTTCAAGCCTATTTTTGATCTTCAGTGGCATCTTATACTTGCTTATACGACACTCATTTTGGCTCCATATTGTTTGATTAAATATACCCGTGCATTTTGAGATTATTCCCTTTTGAGTAAACCCCTAGTTTTGTCCTCTATTTCCATTTCCAAAGGTATAATTGTCATTCTTTGGTCCTCCAAAGATTTTTGTCATCGTTTAAGTCCTCAACAATGCTAAGTATCGTTGATTTAGTCCTCCCCTTTTTTAACAGAATTTAGTCTCGATAATGCAAAATGTTATCACCTAAATTAGGACTCCATTACTCTCATCTCCCTGTCTCACAAAGAATGACCAATTTGATGATTATTTACATAATTAAGGTATTAAATTGATGTTTGATGACAAATAATTTTTTGATGAATAATCTGATGGTGCTTGTACTTTTGGCAGACAAAAATAGGGTTTTCCCTTTTTAATGTCAGAAACAGAATATTCACAAAAAACATTCTTCCTTTTTTGAAAACTAATATGAAAGATATGTGCTCCAGTAGCATAGGGGTGGGTATACGGACCGGTCCGGCCCGTTTAAGGCCCGGTCCGTAAAACCCGTGTTTTATACGGGCCGGATAAGTCCGGTCCGTAAAATAAATGGACTTATTTTTTAAGTCCGTATCCGGCCCGCCAAAATCCGCGGATAACGGACCGGTCCGCGGGCTTAAATAATGGTTCAAAAAAATAAATTTTTAAAAAATAAAAATACATAAAATTAGAAGAAAAAAAATATTTTTTATTTATAAGCTAAATTTTATCATACTAAAATTTATCAATAGTTAAAATGGTTTAAAATACTAAATATTAAAATATTAAAATAAAAATAATTACAAATACTTAAATAATAGTACCAAACTTTCAATAATAAAAGCATCAAAATGTCATAAAAGTAATTCAAATGACAAATACCTACCAACTAAACATAATTTTAATGTCATAATAATTTAAAAAATTAAATACACAACTTAATATTAAAATCATAATATTTAAAAATATTAATTAGTGAAGTCCGCGGACTAGCCGGCGAGCCCGCGGATTAAATCCGCTAAGTCCGCGGACTTCACGGGCCGGGCTCAAAAATTAGACGTAGTCATATAAATTTGAAAAAAACGGGTCCGTAAGTCCGCGAAATCCGCGGACTTACGGACCGGTCCGCGGACCCGGATCCGTCTACCCATGTATTCCATTAATTTCATTTTTTTTTTTTATCTTTCACTTGACTTTTTTTTAAACTTATAAGAGTAATAAATGCCTGCTCAGCACACACATAACTATAAATGCAAATATCGTATTCTGCTTTATGTTTTTCTGTGTTATAAACTCTGGAAAGAGAAAAGAGAAATTTATAAAAACTAACAAAGCAACTGAACATTTTTATTTAAATAACCGTTAATAGGAGAACAAATCCTCCTCCAAGTATTTGCCCTTTTCTTACAAACTTCCTAATTCTGTAAATGAATCTTCTCTCCTTATTTCTTTTTAATTTATCTAACTGATAAACTAACTGATTGCTGTAACTATCCCTAACTACTCTCCTCTCCCTAACTAAACTAGTTCTATTCCTCTTCCTTTTTGTCCTGACAGTATATGTATGTTTTTGAAATGAAAAGCACTCTATATTTAAGACAGATTACATTTTATTGATTACTTTGACAAACAAAGTATGGGCCGGGGTAGCAGATAAAGAGAGATTGTTTATTAATCCTAAATATAATTCTGTCTTATTAAAGAATGAGGTGGATATTCTCTACTTTGGTCAAAAGATGTCAAAACCAATGTTAAAATACTTAGGTTATTCACAGGCTTTCATGCTATGCAGATTTTCTTCTTAGCATTCAAGTATTATGATGTTTCAGCTAAAACGTGATCTGACCATGGTATTGGTCACTTATAATACACAAATGTTCTTCCTTGTTTAGCTATCTTAAGCTTTCTTACAGCTAGTACTTATTTATCTGGAGTACCATAGTACATGTCCTTTTCTTTGAATATCATCTTTTGGGAAGTTATAGATACACATATTTTACTAGTTACATTGCTCACACCTGCACAAGTATCTGTCGAACTTTTGTTGGAACTGTTTGCATCCTTTTGTCAACAGTGCAGTTAAGAACAGAATGGATGCAAACCTGCAACTCACTTGCAACTGCATCTTCTTTTTTTTTCTTTTTTTTTAAATCTTTTAATGAAGGATATGATAGAAGGATGACACTATGGGAAATCAATTTGCTATTTAAAATTGACAACCGCCACCACCACGAAGCCTTTTTCCCCACTAGATCAGCTACTTGGATTCTTTCTTTAGATAAACTATTAACGTCTAAATCTTTTTTAATGGTTTAACCTATAGTATTTTTATTTTTTATTTTTTTAATCTCGCTCTACCTCTAGCGATAGGGCTACCTTCCATCTGCTTTATTCTCCTAACTGGAGCTTCTACAAATGTTCTCCATACATGTCCAAATCACTTGAGGTGAAATTCTACTGTTCTTTTCTATAATAGTTACTAACCCAACTTTCTCTCTAAAACATTCATTCCTATTCTTATTTTGTCTAGTCTTTCCACTCAATGCAACATTCTCATCTCTGTTATGTGGAGTTTATTCTCTCATTGGTTTTTTTATTGCCCAACTCTTGATTCCATACTACATCACAAGTCTTATAGCGGTACAGTAAAAATCTCCCTTAATCTTGAACTGCAAGTTTAGATAACACTAGGGGACACTTTCTTTCATCTACTTGAATAATATGGTTTACATCACCCCAAATTTCGTTGTTATTTTTGTATGATGAACTGAAGATACTTGTGTGATTTGTCATATGGTATGGTCTCCAATTTTCACCATTGAGCTAGGATTTATGCTTCTGTTGCTAAACTTACATTCCACATACTTCTTACTTCTATTCAAACACAAACCATGTGTTCCCGATGTTTGTTTTCCAATCTCTGACTTCCTATTTATTACCTCATGACTCTCCAATTAGGATTATATATCATCAATACAAAATCCATTGGACTTGATATATACTTATATGTTGTAGACTTATATGTTGGAGGTCTCACATCCACTAATGATATAGTGTCCCTCATTTATATACTTTATTTTGGTCATACTAGTTAAAGTGTGATCTTCAACGATACAGTTATCGGAAGATTTGCTCTGATCCTCCTGTACACTTGTTGTGATGTGACCCCTTTTTACATATTTTTGATCGCTCACATATAGACAATATGCACTACTTTATTCTCTAGAGCATTCCAAAACCTCTCTTGCCATCTATTGTATGTCTTTTCCAAATTTTAATAAAAGACCATATTAAGGTTTTTTTATTCCTCTTAATATTGTTCCATCAATCATTGTGGCAAGTATTATGCTTCCATAGTCGACCTCCAGCATAAAAACCAAATAGAATTTTACTATCGCGGGTTTGTTGTCTTTAAATTTTTCTCAATTACCCACAATTTGAAAGTGACAAATATGGGAAAACAAAAACAAATTCACAATCTTATGGTGCATTACTCAACTTGCTGGTTATGTTATCTCAGGCTTATATGTGAAAACAACGTTTTCTTCTAAAAACGTGAAATGTAATCATTTGATCACTATGATGCAATACCGATTAGTTTACTTTCAAAACATTTCTTTCGATTACTTTTTGCAGGAAGTGGTCGTACTCATGCTCCAACACTGGTTTATCCCAGTGAGATGGATGGTGTACCAAAGATTTCTATACCTACTTTTGCGATGGCTTCCTATAAGTTAAAGGGATCTATTTGGATGAAAAAAGGAGTTAGTGAGTCTCAACAAGTGAGTTCCCTCTTGCAGGCTGCCGATAAATGGTTAAGGATAGTTCAGGTTAATCACCCGGATTTTCAGTTCTTTAAATCACATGGGACATACCATAGATGAACTGAATAAGTCGACATGTCATTCCTGC